TGCTGTAAATTTTGGGGCTGATTAACTTCAAATTGAGCAAAGGATTGGCGAAATTCTTTATACCCCTGACCTGTTCGATAAAATGCCCAGTTGAGAGTTCTACTTGAAGATGATTTTGCTTGCGTTTTGCGTGTGAGAAAAAGGAACATTCGGCTAGTTCAGTGTTTGTCCGAACATGATAGCTAATTTTTCATGGTAGAAAACAGAGTCTTGAGAGGCTCTGACGTGCTGGTTTTTGCACTTTTTCTGTTTTTATGCTGCCCTATGTTTGAGTCCGAATTGATGTTATGAGAGGGGGGTATTGTGGGTTTCACTGTCGGAAAAAGGAAAAAAAAAGAGAGGAAAGGTAAAGCAATTGGTTAGTTAATATAGCAAGATAAATTTCATGCCTTGTGTTTATGAGCAAGTGCACGCATGTGGCTTCTGAGTGTCTTTGTTGTCGCAGATACATTCTGTTAGGCTGTTAGATCATCAAGCTAAATTTGTTCTGAATGAAGCTGACCTTGCTCTCTTGGGGTTTTTCTTTCAGCTTTCTACATGGTCTTCCTTGGCCTTCCTTTTCTCTACATACTTTTAATGCTCTTTTCTCAAATCCATGACTGTATGATGAGTTAGCTAACCAGCTGAAAGACTTGCGCAAATAAGCAACTTCTGTGTCAGGTATAAATAAATTGTTTGCTCTTCATAGTTATTACAATTGAGGCACTTGAATTCTGGTTCTACAAAATAGAGATTCATTTTTAATACAATTGGGTTGCTTGATGTCAATTTAGTTGCTTGATGGCACTTGAAATCTGGTTCCACCAAATCTGATTCCTGTTTAATGCAATTGAGTTGCTTGAGGCTGATTTAGGTGCTTGAAATCTTGTTCATGTTTAATTACAGCCATTGAGGTGCTGGATGTTGCAACCAAAACTTTAGTGTTTTTAAAGCAAATGTGTTTGAACGTTGGGATGTATTCGGATTTGTGATCTCAACTCCCAAACTGCTATTTGATCAAGGGATTCTAAGTACAATATTGTTTGGTATTCTACTCTACCAGTATTTGTTTCCCTTTGGATTCCACATATTGATGTTACAATCTTATAGAGACTGGTTTTACTTTGTGTGGTTGATCATTAACTCCAGACGTTAGTCAAACAAGTGGTAACAGCCGAATAGAGTCATTAATCAAGAAAACTGTCTCTTTTGATTACAGCTAATATATTTATATGATTCTTCTTAAAATTTTTTGGACGGGCTAAGTTCACACCCTTCTATCTTATATCCATATTAGAAACACGAATTTGATGTTAAGATCCTTAGTATTTATTACTTTTCTTCTAACATTTGGCAATCCCAACTTTATGCATTGAGACAGTGAAAATTTTTCAGCTAAAATTTCCTCGGTTTTGAGCAAATCTATCAGATGTGTAATATATATTGTTACCTTTTTGTTCTCAATATATAGCAGTCCTGATTACCATACAATGAATGGTTCGTTGTAAAAAGTCTAATCTTTGACATTTATATATAACCCGAGTGGAGGTTCTGGTTGATAATCAATTGCAGAATCAGATTTATGGATCATTGGATGATCCTTTCGCATTTTTTACCATTAAGATGAGATTTTTGTTGCTAATTCATGTGAGAGAATTAATCACAGTGCTGTTTAATATGTTTAACCCATTTGGACTCGATTAATTTTCTTTTGGTTGTAGTACACATGAACTGTGTAGTTCTAGTACTTAACTTGATTGGTTTCATGAGTTTATTAATTATTGTTTAAAGACACAGCAAAGTATTAAAAACAACATGGATCGAAATTTTTCTGTATCAGAAATTTTTTTTTTGTGCTAAGGAAAAAGAGGCACCTGTGATTGTGTGTGTGTGTGTGTGTTTTTTTTTTTTGATATACTGTGTGGTTCACGATCATCTAGGCTCTCAATGATTTTCAAGCGGATAGACCAGCTATGATTGTAAACCTGTAAAGCAAGCAGGCTACTAGTCCTGTTGGAGTGTCTAACCTGGATAGTGAACATGTTCTTGTTAATAGAGATTAAGGAGTTTTGATGTGCACATAATATCCAATGTAAACTAGAAAGTTCTCTTAGAACTCTTGAACGTGGTTCAGTTGTACTCCACCACATTGGAGCTTTCTTGAAACAAAAAATATGGCGGATTGGGCTAAATGAATATATGCATTTGCTTAGTTGATCCTTTCTTTTGGAGCTAATGTTCTTGCTTACTATTCAATATATATAATTTCACTTTATTTTTGTGTTAAGCAATTTACTTAGATTGCTATAATTTCAAATTTATGGACATTAGTTTTTATAATATGGTGCCTATCTAGAAGTGTAGTTCCAGTTTTAACACCAGTGCTCATTGCTTCAATTTTGGTAACGTGTAGGTTCTAACACGATTCCCAAGAAGAAGAAGCCAGTCATTGCTGTGAAGATGGTTTTTGAATTGAAGACTACAAGGCCTATCATGCTCATGTTTTGTTCTAGATGGGAATCGTGCTCATATTTTTGTATAGAACTTTACTACTCTCTATTGTGGATGGGAAATCACTAGTATTGTAACTGAATGGCTTATTTTGGATGGTGCATGGTTTATGACTCATTTGAGGCAACATTTATATATATATGTATTTGGGTTGATCTTCTATTGGAAATGAATGTTGGTTTTCTTTTCGTATGTTGGCTTTTTTTTTCTCCTTGCTACTCAATGAACGTTTTGTGATTGTTGGCAGCTATGTTGCGTAATTAACATTAGTTTATTGCTTTTTACAAAAAAATAAATGACAATAAAAAAGTTGTCACTGCCAACAAGTTTTACTAGTGACACTAGAAAGTCGTCACTTTTTATGGATGGAAAACAATGACAACAAAAGTCGTCACTGAACGGAAGCATAATGTGACAACTCCAAGGGTTGACTATGACAAGAATTTAGCCAGTTTAGTGACAATAAAAATCGTCACACAATGTACAACAATGAGTGACGACAAGAGTCATCACAAAAGCGAAATCGTTTGTGACGACTTTCAACAGTCGTCACATGGACCCCCTTTTGTGACATAGAACTAGTGACAGCTCTGTGACAGCAGTAAAAGTCGTCACTGACTTTTTTTGTGACGACTTCTGAATTTTTAGTGACGACTTTCGCCTGTCACAGAAACGCAATTTTCTTGTAGTGTTATGTGTATGTCTGTTGAAGAGTGTCGAAACTATCGAACTACTTTTTTTTTTACTGGGGCTACGTTTGGATCGAGGGATTTGACAAAAAATTTGCGATCCTTTTAAATTTCTCTAGTTGTTTAATATTATTTAGGAGATATTTAAATTTATAAATTATAAATTATTCTAATATTTAAAATAAATTTTAATAGTTGATATATTATAAATTTAAATGTCTATTAAGTAATTTAAATAATTAGAACGATTTGAATGAATTTTAAATTATTTCTCAAATTTCTCAATCAAAACAAAGCCTTCAGGGAAAGAAAGTCATCTTGCATCTTACATGTGTTTCATTTTTTATTATTGGACATTGCCGGTGACTGGAGACCAAACTTTTTGTTTTTTTGTCAATACAGAGTGTCCGAGTCAATCCTTACGAGGCCTGACTGGCGACCAAACTTAGATCTAGTCATATTAGATTCAATAATTAATTCATTGAAGAACCTTCAATCGCGACATGACTCGTATCAAAAAGTAAAAGAAAAAAAACTTGACACGACTCTCATTTTTTTTTTTTTTTTGACACGACTCTGGGAACTGGGAAGAAGGCGCAACTTGGGAAAGCTCTTGACCATGACCCAGGCCAATTTTTTAGAACTTTGATGTGTGAGGTCCAGCGTAGATTTTTTTTTTTTTTGGCAACCGCAATCACTATTTCAGAGTACGCATCAAATAAATTTCATCCCATATAATAACCTATCAACCACACAAAGGGGTAAGATGCATTAGACAAATCTTATATGACAATGAATGTTCCACGAGAGGTTTGAAACCGGGTTGATAGGAAATCAAACTTAAGATGTATAACAAGTGTATGGTATTGATTTTATATATACGAAATAAGTAGCAAACATAAGATGTATAAAAGTGAACTACAAGCTTCGGGACAATTTCAATTTTTGTTCCAATTGAGAGTAACAGCTTAATGATCACCATATGAAATCAAAAAGATAATTATGGAGAAAATTTTACTAACAAATCTTAGAAGAAACATATGAACCACCAAGTTTATAATATTTAGCGGAAAAATGAAAAATGAAAAGTATTTAACTGGAAAGTTTTACAAAAGCAAGAATAGATTTGAAAGCATAAGTATGACCACATAAAGGAAGAAAAACAATACTAATTTGTGTTTACCACACAAATGTAACAACTAGATGGATGAGGGGAAGGACCGCTCCTGAGCTGTTCACAGTCAAGATTTGGCCCAAAAAAATTGTATGATTCAGATCACTTCTTGTACCTCGTTTTTAACACCGTGTGTGGGGCCCACAAAAATTTATTTTAAAGTTACACGTTGTGCAAACAAAATTACGCCGTGTGCAAATAAAATTACGCGATGTGCAAAATGCACAAAACCGAGGTGCAACCGTTCCTGCCCGTGGTCCCAATTAGATGGATTGAGAAAGAACTAATATTAAACCAATAAAGCAAAAATAAAAAAAGGAAGTTGAAGAAACTTCCCTTCATCTGTTGATTGATGATCAAGTGACAATAAGAACTGAAAAAACTTAGAAACTGGATACAATTTTGTAGATTCGTATCATTAACTGTAATACAAATTACATAACCACGATAATCAAATAAGGCCATTAGCCAAGGAGAACTTAAAAAGGCTGATATCATAAATCACCTTGAACCATCAAATAATGCCATTAGCCAAGAAGTACCTTGAAAAGCTGAAATTGTAAATCCAAGTGAAGGAATCAGATGAAAAGAAATTTATATTTCTAATCTTTTCTTTTGGCTGTCAAAAAAATTGACTAGTTTCTAATACTGCATCAACAATAATACCTCAAAGTAACTCAAGAACATGTTTCTTTTGTTGAAAGGTAAATGCATGAAAAAATTTTCTCCCGGAAAGAAATCTCCAACATCTTTTTATGGAAAGGGATAGAAAGGAACCAGTTATGAAGGGAAAAACATAATTGAGAAACAAATCAGAAAACAAATTTCGTTTTGAGACTTCTAATGCCGGATAAGTCATCATTCTCCTCTCAATAAGCATGCATCAACATAGTAAGAGGCCAAATTGGAAGGAGGAAGACCTAGGAGCAATATATTTAACCAATCTAGACTCAACACACAGTTAAATGTACTTCTGACCTGGGATCATTCCATACATTGCTATAAAGAAATTTGGGAATGACTAAAGTTGCATTTAGCAGGGATGGAACTGCAACAGCATTGCAGACCTGAAAAATTGGAACGAAGCATTCAGTGGCAATTAATAAGAGAGATAGAATCAGAGAGTAAAGAAAAAAACATGAAGAAGATGCAGGAAGTAAGATGAAACTTGACCCTACAACAACCAAAAATACCAAAAAGGAGGAGGACTAAATTCTACATGCTTACAGCAACTCGCTGCTGATTTAGGCCTCCATTGGCCACAATGTAACTGTTCCTGGATTTCCCTGCCCCGACAACTTTAAACAATTACACCACAGTTCAGACAGCAAACCACCTACTGTCAGAGACATAACTGTTGTAAGAAGCAAATTACAATTTGATTTGTGCATAGACATCATTCAATGAATCTAAATTATACCTTGGGTACTCTTCTTGTCGGCACAAGGCTTCCACATTGATGCCTGAGGGTTTGATTCTTCCCAAAATTTTGATTCACCTCTCTTCAACTCTTTCTGAAACATTAAATTGGTAAAAGGGAGTGCAGAAACAACAATAAATAAAATCTTTTCTCAGCATGCTCGTGTTTTCCACAACTACCCAATGAAAAGTACAAGATCAGCTGATATCCCAAACTAGCCATGGAACAGACAACAAAAGAGCAAACTATTTCAGTATATTATTCTGTGAACTCCTAATATTATCAATTATCTGATAGGCAAGTCACTTGCAAGACCAATGCTTATGCAATCAAACACATTCTGATGATGCAACCAGATGATTTGGCCTTATCTTTCCTAGTTCTAGTAATTGAGTAGCTGCCATTTACTGCAGAAGCTCAGAGCACTTACAAAATCTACGGCTAAGATAGTAGACACTCCTGCCATGCACCATAATTGAGATTAAGAAAATATTCTACTATATGAAAGCAATGATAATAGTTCTAACCTCATTAACAGAACTGGCCGCCAGTTTTAGAAGGCGATCATACATGTTTGTTGAACTCTTTTCCTCCAACATGCCAGTGATTTTCTCCTGCAGTGATATATGACCTACTTCATCTGTAATACTGCTCATAACAACTCCTGATAGTGATGAATTGCTTCACAACTGATACTTTGGAACAAATAATTCCTAAATAAACAAAGCTCATCCACCTACTATGTTTATTAGAATAAGCACAGTAAATAAACTAAGTATGACTGAACAGCCTTCAATATTATCATCATGCAGAGGTTACATATAGTTTCCCCATGTTGCTTAATTTTCAATTTGCAGACACATACATCAGCTTATTTTTCTGCAAAAGAATGAACGTCTGCAAAATTGTCAGGAAAGTGACTCACGTTTACAGAAACAACTCCTGTTCTATAAAACGGACAAAAATATTGTTGTAACTTAACTTTAGATACTCTTCTAATTTAGGTTTGACATACAGAAACAGTTTTTTAACATATAAATTAATTCATGTATAATCCTCTCTGGAACTTTGCTATCATCAAATCCTCATGGATCGGTCTAGCGCTACTTATGTTCTGTTAAATTTCATGTGAGACTCAGCTCAATGGTGGAAATATAGTAGCATCAATTTTGTATTCATAACAGATGTAAGCTGATCAACCAGAATTGCTTCTAATCTCTGGATGAAGTATAACAAATTATTCCCTTTCAGAAGTGAAACTAAAGTCAATGACCGTATGAGCTAGCTGGAAACCATCAATTCCTAACATATAAAGGAGAGCTACGTGTTTTACTAGTATACACCAATTGCTCATAAGTACCTTCCAAAAGAAAATTAATAGGACTTGTGGTCTTGAAAATTATGAAATTGGACTGAGCTTTTGAATTGTTAAAAAATAAACTGAATTCCAGAAATATCATCTACAAATTCAATTGGCACTTGGCAATGAGGCATCATATCATATTAAGGTAGTCTAAATGCACATTTGATCTACTTTTGCATTCATTCTTTTCATTTCAATTTGTGCTACTAAGTTCCTGTCAAAATTAAATAAATCATATTTTTTTTGAATCTTACATGCATGTCAAAGAAAAGCAGAGCATATTAATTAACTAAATTTAGGCTTTAGAGCTAATTGGGAAAGCATGGATGCAAAGCCAAACTGATGGCAGTACCCTAAACCATACCTCTTGCCCTGTTGATCTGTGAGGGGCCGAATGATTCTTGATTATTGAGTCCAAAAGAGAAAACAAAAGGGAATCCAGCAGGAAAAGAAAGCTCATGAACACAAATGCTACAACTACTTTCCACCAAAAACTTAATGTCTTCTCTCCCGAACCCCTCTAGACCGGTCTGCCATAATTTGATATGTAATAAGTAGGAAAATCAACATTAATATTAACTGGTGGGTATTTTTCTGCTATTGATGTTATCATAGCCAGAGACCACCACATTAATTGCTGATCTCCATCTCCATGTGTGTGTTTTTGTGTCATGAAGACTTCCACGCTCGTCTTATATATATATATATATATATATATATATATATATATATATATATATATATATATATATATATATATATATATGATTTTGCTGCTGACACCAATTCATGTGAGTTACGGTCAAAAAAATCTCAACTTGATCAATGAGCAAGGCCATGGGCAAAATAGATCACTACCTTTTCTTGATAAATTTTAGCTTAGTTTCGTTAGCCATGATGGCTGCCGGCAACAGTAATGTTACAACGGATCAATTAGCCCTTCTTGCGCTAAGAGATCGCAGGATCAATTCAGAGCCTCGAGAAATCTTGGCAAAAAACTGGTCCATTACCTCCTCTGTTTGTGATTGGATAGGGGTCACCTTCGGCTCTCGACACCACCGAGTGACTGTCTTGAATATCTCAAATATGAACCTTACTGGTACCTTACCTCCTCAACTTGGGAACCTGTCCTTTCTGGTTTCCCTTAACATTAGCAGGAACAATTTCCATGGAGAATTGCCCGGTGAGTTAGTTCACTTGCGCAGATTGAGATACCTTGATTTTGGGATCAACAATCTAGGTGGAGAGCTTCCCTCCTGGTTTGGTTTTATATACAAACTCCAATTCCTGTCTCTTGGAACAATAGCTTTATGGGTTCCATCCCGCCTTCCATCTCTAACATGTCAAACTTGGAGACGCTACTGCTGTCTTTCAATTTCATTGAGGGGACCGTTCCAATAGAATTTCAGAATCTTCATAATTTGAAGAATTTGCTTATTGAGTATAACCAGCTTTCTGGTCCTTTGCCTCTCCATGTTTTCAATCTTTCCTCACTGGAAATAATTTCCTTCATGCATAACAGCCTATCAGGCATTCTTCCGGACGACGTCTGTCAGCGCCTTCAGAAACTTACATGGCTTAGTCTACAATATAACAATTTGATTGGTCGAATACCGTCAACAGTGTCTCAGTGTTCACTGCTTCGGTATCTTGCCTTGTCTGAGAACCGTTTAAGTGGACCGATACCCATGGGAATTGCGAACTTGACAATGCTGGAGGAACTATACCTGGAGAGCAACAATTTAACAGGTAAAATGTATTAGTGACTGCTTTTATTCCTATTTTTTAAGTATAGATTAAGCTTATGCTTCTGTTCTTGTATATGCTTTATAGATATCTAATAAGCTTATGCTTTTGTTTTTCTATATGGAGGTTTCAGAGAAACAGAACATTTTTTTTTGGCGGTTTTGATAGACAGTGATGAGAAAGCACAGCCTCTCTCTCTCTGTTAGTCTAGCAGCATTCCTAGATTTGTCTATATGCAAGTTGCATATCTAGACTTCCCGAAGGAAATCAGCACCGCCTTCATTGGTAACTTATTGCATGTATAAATGGACGGCAAGTGTTTAGTAGAAATGTGAGGTAACCTTATGAGTTTTAAATTGGTGTCTTGGTTTAGAGTTGTGTGTAGTGTATAATCGTTAGCGCCCAGGAGTTCTGGTTATTTTGAGGTTTGGTCAAATTACATATCCGATCCTAAGGTTTGTCAATATTACTAAAAGGTCCTACATATCAAACCCTAAGGTTTGTCAAATAGATTTATAACATAAACACTCTTATCGCATGGGTCTTAACTCTTAACATTGACTGTTCCCCTGATATTACTAATAGTATCACTTTTTTTTTTTCGATAGATAGTTGAATAACCTTGGCAATGTCTGATAAAACTTTACTAGTATTTGTCTTAGCAAGCAGAAAAACTATCCTATTTTCTTTCCTCCCACAGATGCCACATGGTTACTGCAATGAGTAACCATGCGACTATTTCCAATTAATGCATTTAGAAAGTTAAAAAATCTCATCATTGTTTGTTACTACATTTTTTTTTGTTACAAGTCAAATCAAACTCATAAAAGTTGCAATTTTGCAGGTGCAATCCCAAATGAAATAGGGAATCTAACTATGTTGACGATTTTAAGTTTTGGTGACAACAAATTGATTGACAGGTATGTCTTCGCTCCTAATGACAAGGTCTTGATTGCTTAAACCATAGGCAAAGCTCGGCATGCAATTGGATCTATAGCATGAAAGGGTCACGACTATTTCCAATTAATGCATTTGGAAAGTTCCAAAATCTCATCATTATTTGTTACTACATTTCTTCATTACAAGTCAAATCAAACTCATAAAAGTTGCAATTTTGTAGGTGCAATTCCAAATGAAATAGGGAATCTAACTATGTTGACGATTTTATATTTTTATGACAACAAATTGACAGGTATGTCTTCGTTCCTAATGACAAGTTCTTAGGATTGGATCTATAGCATGAAAGGATCACGACTATTTCCAATTAATGCATTTGGAAAGTTCAAAAATCTCATCATTGGTTGTTACTATGTTTCTTCATTACAAGTCAATTCAAACTCATAAAAGCTGCAATTTTGCAGGTGCAATTCCAACTGAAATAGGGAATTTAGCTATGTTGACGGCTTTAGAATTTAGAGACAACAAATTGACTGGTATGCTTAAGTTCCTAATTACAAGTTCTTAATTGCTTAAACCATAAGCAAAACTCAGCATGCAATTGGATCTATAGCATGAAAGGATCACGACTATTTCCAATTAATGCATTTGGAAAGTTCAAAAATCTCATCATTATTTGTTACTACGTTTTTTCATTTCAAGTCAAATCAAACTCATACAAGTTGCAATTTTGCAGGTGTAATTCCAGCTGAAATAGGGAATTTAGCTATGTTGATGGATTTAGATTTTAGCAACAACAAATTGACAGGTATGTCTTCTTTCCTAATGACAAGGTCTTAATTGCGTAGATCATCTTTAAAACTCCACATCAGTTTGATCTATAGGATAACTTGCGCCTATGTTCGGTTGAATGAAATTAACTTTTCCTTTTAATGGATTTTATGTTCAAAGAGGTTAGTTTTAAAGCCTTGCTAGAAGGATCTGGGAAGACCGATAACTTTCTATTATTCTAAAAGATTTTTTTTTTAAAAAAAAATTTAGAACCTTGCTAGACATTGCCAATGGAAAGTTGCCGATTGTATGCTAATGCAAAAGCACTTCAATTACCGTATTACAGGTGGAATACCCGAAAAGATTGGGAACCTTCACAGATTGGAGGAGCTTTATTTATACAACAATGCATTATCGGGTTCCATACCAGCTGCAATTTTCAACATTTCATCTCTCCAACATATTGGACTTGACCAGAATAAATTCTCAGGAACTATTCCTTTCACAGTGAGTAATAATAAGCTAAGCAATTTGGAGTCTCTTTTTCTTGATCAGAATTACTTGAGCGGAGGTATACCTAGCACCATCTCAAATGCTACTAAGCTAGTTTTTTTGGTGCTTTACAATAATGAGCTCACAGGTTCAATCCCCACCTCTTTAGCAAGTTTAAGAAATCTAAAATATCTATACCTGGATTACAACAGGCTATCAAGTGAATCCTCAGAATTGAGCTTTTTCACTTTCTTGACGAGTTGCAGATCTTTGACATATTTAGTGTTGGATAATAATCCTCTAAATGGTTTTCTGCCAGCTTCCTTTTCTAACTATTCGACTTCACTTGAAGTCATAACTGCAAAAAGTTGTAGAATCAAGGGAAACATCCCAGATGGAATCAGCAATTTGAGCGGTTTGGTGGAACTAGAATTTTCAGGTAATGAATTGATTGGATCTGTCCCAAGAACTATACATAGTTTGGCAAATCTTCAGGTGCTGTACTTGGACTCCAATCAAATAAGAGATGTCTTGGACATTTTTTGTGGATTACAAAGTTTGGGGTTGTTAGACTTGAGCCAAAATCAATTCTTTGGTAGTATTCCAGAATGCTTAGGAAATATGACAAATTTGAGACAGATTTTTCTAGACTCCAACAGGTTGACTTCCATGATACCTGCTAACCTATTGAGCATGAAAGATCTCCAAATTCTCAACCTTTCATCAAATTTCTTAAGTGGATCGCTACCTTTGGAGATCGGGAACCTCAAAGCAGCATATAGTTTAGATATCTCGTTCAATCAATTATCAGACAAAATCCCTACAACCATTGGAGAGCTGCAAGCTTTACAGAGCCTTTCATTGGCGAAAAATAATTTGCAGGGTTCTATACCAGAATCATTTAGCTATATAGTCAGCTTGGAATTCTTGGACCTTTCACACAATAATCTCTCTGGTGTAATACCCAAGTCAATGGAGGCACTCAAATCTCTCAAGGAATGCAATGTTTCTTTTAATAGATTAAGTGGCGAAATTCCTCGAGATGGTCCCTTCAGAAACTTTACAGGTCAATTGTTCATGAACAATGAAGGACTCTGTGGTGACCCAAGGCTTAGTGTTCCACTATGTCAGAGTAATTCAATTAGAAGATCGAGCAAAAGAAAGGTGCTTCTACTTGTCATTAGTCTGTCAGGGATGGCAGCAATACTGATAATAGCAATTGGAGCATTATTGAATCTAAGGTGGCTAAAGAAACCAAAGAGTTCTAGTGGAATAGAGTTGATGTCAGCGGCAAAATATGAAAGATTTTCATACTATGACCTTTTGCACTCAACCGATAACTACAATGAAAGCAATTTGCTTGGAGAAGGGAGCTATGGTTCTGTTTACAAAGGGATCCTAAGTGATGGCACTATTGTGGCTATCAAGGTATTCAACTTGCTAGTGGAAGGTTCATTAAAAAGTTTTGATAAAGAATGCGAGGTTCTAAAGAGTTTACGCCATCGAAATCTTATAAAAGTGCTCGGCAGCTGCTGTAACCTTAATTTTAAAGCCTTGGTACTCAAATACATGCCCAATGGGAATCTTGAGAAGTGGTTGTACTCTCACAACCATTTTTTAGATATGTTCCAAAGAATAAACATAATGATTGACGTTGCTTGTGCATTGGAATATCTCCATTATGGTTATGATGCTCCTGTGGTACATTGTGACTTGAAGCCCAGTAATATCTTGCTTGATGAAGATATGGCTGCCCATGTAAGTGACTTTGGTATAGCAAAAATGTTTGGCCAAGGAGAAAGTATTTTGCATACCAATACCCTTGCAACACTGGGATACATTGCACCAGGTTAAGCATTTAACTTTTGCTGTCTACATTTTTTGTACTTCTACGATGTTGTTCATCTGTTGTTAATCTGTTAACTAATTCTATTATCCTGACTATTGTAATCTTATGACAGAGTATGGATCGGAGGGGATAGTTTCAACAAGAATTGATGTATACAGTTTTGGAATAGTTTTGATGGAAATTTTTTCAAGGATAAGGCCTGGTGATGAAACGTTTTCAGGAGATTTAAGCCTTAAAAGTTGGGTAGAAGATTCTCTTCCTGATGCACTTCAGGTCGTTGATGCAAACTTAATTAGGCCAGAGGATGAGCATTTCACTGACAAGCTGAAGTGTGTTACATTGATTATGAAATTGGCTTTGAACTGCTGTACAGAATGTCCAAGAGAAAGGATCAGTATGAAAGATGTTTTAGCAGAACTAATAAAGATCAAGCATCAATTTCAATTTCTGATGACAGTAAGTATTTATCCTTTTTGTGCAAATTTTACTTCTCAATGATGAAAGTTATGTGTCCTCATTCAATTGAGCTTATAACCTGCTATTTTTTTGCAGCATACTGTCAGGTCTTGATCATATCAGAAACAATGCTTTTGGCCAATGCAAATAGATGCTTCAGTATAATTTGTAAGCTTGATTTATTTTGAAGGTCAGAGAGAGATGTACATTATTCCGAGAGAGAGATCTAGAGGTGTCATCTACATCGCATTTGGACTTTCAGTTATAGGGAACATTGCATAAGGGGCTTTATTTTGCTTTTCTTTTTCCTTTTTTTAATTCTGACTGAGTTCTTAGCTACCTTTTAGTTTAAACAATCTAGTGACAAAAAGCAGAAAATTAACAATTCCCTGCCATAAAATTGGAATGGCAAAAGCATACCATTCACTTTCAAAGGAGACTTCAAATGGGGACAAGTTCAGATTTGGGTTTGTTTCTTCTCCATCCACATATATACTAATGGAAACTGGAATTAAAGTCAATGAAGGAATAAACCAAGACTAGTTAATGGCAGCCTCTTCTCGACCAATGTCGCAAGCTCCATTTTGTCCATGATTTGATAGTCCATGTTTGGTACCTACTTGGAAAATAAATCAATGTTACGGCCTTTCTCCATTGATATGGTTTTATTATTCCTGGAATGTGTTATTAGTGGACTTCCATGCTCGTTTCTATCTGTATATATCGTTTTGCAGTTCATCCCAATTCTTAATTAGTGAGTGCCCTGGTGTTTGTGGAAATCTGAAATTGAACCATGAGCATGGCCAAGGACAAAATCTACTACTTCTTCTTGCGTATCTTTAGGTTAGCTAGCATGGCAGCTAGCAACAGTGATATTACTATGGATCAATCAGTGACATGATCACTTTAGAACCTCAAGATTTCTTGGCAAAAAATTGGTCAATTACTTCCTCCATTTGTCCCTTGCAGTTCTCGACAGGTCGAGTGACTGCCTTGCATATTTCAAACATGAACTTTTCTGGTGGTACCATACCTCCTCAACTTGGGAATCTGTCCTTTCTCATTTCCCTTGACATTAGCAGAAACAATTTCCTTGAAGAACTGCCTCGCGAGTTGGCTCACTTGCGCAGATTGAGATACCTTAATCTTGGTTCAATATTTTGGTGGACAACTTCCCTCCTGGTTAATTTGGTTCCTTATAGAAACTCCAATACCTGTCTCTCAGCAATAATAGCTTTTTGAACAGAAAATCATTGTCTTCTCAGGCAACCTGTACTATCTATAGTGGGAAGTAAGATTTCTGAACGACTCCTAATTTTTACATCATATTTACAGTAACACGTTTTTTAAAAAACAAAAGCCATAGTAATATCTTAAAAAATGCCACAAAGAACTTATTCAGAACTAAAAACACTTGAAAAGAATACACTAACATTCCTCTACATTACCTGTGCCCTCCACTTGAAAAGAATACTCTACTTTTTTCTTCTCACTTTCTCCTTTCTTCTTTCCTTCCCACCATGCCTCCACCTCTCTCTTTCCCTTCGCTCTACTCTTTTCCCCTCGCCCCCTACCCAAATCGCCTCCCTCCACTGTACTCCTCAACTCATTCCTTTTTTTCTTTCTCAACACCCACTATTCCTCTAACCTTTCTGTCGCGCCCCATTTTTTTAAAGAAATAATAAAATTACGGGTTTGTAAAAAATGAATTTTTATTAGTTTTAAGTGAAAATGAGTTTTTCATTTTTTTAGAAAATAAATAAAGAAAACGGGTCTAAATGGGACTTTAAAAGTGTGACGGTTTTGACCCAAAATAATAGTTTAAAAAGAATTTTTAATAAAATAGGAGTCGCCACTTGTTATTGAGTTAAGGTGTACCAAGTCACCTAAAATAAATTTTTAAAGAAAAAGTAGAAAAAACCCTTTTTAAACGACTCCAAGTTTTCGAAAATCAGAGAAAAGTGTTCAGGAGTCACGTTTGAAGAAAGGAAAGGCAAAGATAAAATCCAAGGCACCCTTTCAACCTAGCCTAGAGCTAGTTGCGTGATTTAGTCAAAAGATTTTCTTATTTTAACCTAAAAATTTATCACATTTAGATGTCACTATATGGATGCAAAACCTAAACCTAGTGGTGAATCGAGTGGGGCAAAATATCTCTTTGAGGTTTGATTGGCACCGAGCACATTGATTGTGACGGCCAAAATTGACTCCTCGAAGAGGTCAATAAATGCAAGTGATGAGACTCAGAGGCAAAAAGAGTAAAATTAGGATTTTAAAAGATGCAATTGATTGAAATTTAAAGGCGAAAGAGATTAGTGTTTTGGAAAATGAAATTTTTCAATGGCCTTTCTGCTTATCTCCTTCATTTCTAGAACTCTTTTTCTTGTTGGATTCTCTGTGTCCATCAAGCATCTGATAGCTTTCTCGATTTCCTCAGCCACTACAAGATTCTTTGCATTTTCCATTCGACAATCCATTTTCAAGTCCATAGCCAGTTCCAACTCTCTTACCAACTCGAACGCATTGATTTGTTGCTCAGCATATACAGGCCATGTTGCAACAGGCACCCCATGCCACAGGCTTTCTAGTATAGAGTTCCAGCCACAATGAGATACAAATCCCCCAACTGCTTCATGAGCCAGCACCTCCATTTGTGGTGCCCAACTACTCACCAATCCTCGATTTTGGACGCGCTCTAAGAAGCCTTGTGGCAACATTTCAGAAATATTGGAATGCTCACCTGTCCCTTTTGTATAGGCCTTTGATAACCGGACTGACCACAAGACTCTGTATCCACTCCACTCGAGTGCAAGTGCCATCTCTGCTAACTGGTCAGGCTCAAAACTACCCATGCTTCCAAAACAGAGAAATACAACTGATGATGGAGGCTGATCATCTAACCATTTCATTATTTTTTAGTGATCAGGCTCTTGCTTTCTGCCCTCCAGGTCGAGCAGGGGTCCAACTGTGTAGATTGGCGGTGTTTCAGCATCGAATTTCAATCGATCCACAGCATGAGATTCTAATTCTGCAAACGTATTTATGATGATTCCTTTTGTCTCCTTGAACTTGGTAGCATGTTTTACGAATGAGGAATAACCACCATGCTTGTTAAATGCATAAGAAGGTATAACATTTGAAGGTACAGGGTGAGAATATGTTGGAATAATTGAATCAGGGTCTGAAGTCTCGAACTCTCTTCCATTTTTGTTGTGAATTGGAAGATAAAACACGAAACCAAGATAGGCAGAGCCAGAGGTGAAGAACACATATGAAGGAACGCCAAGCTCATTCGCTACATCAACCATCGAACTACAGAATAGATCAACAACTATCCCGGCAAGAGAAGTGATGGATTCTGATACTAGTACTTGATCAATTATTGCTGTTTTGACATAGGATCTATGGCTTTCCAAATAGAGAGCATAAAAATTTTCTGGGGAGCTCAAGGCCTCTGATAGATTGGGATCTGCTTTAGGAATGTTGATGAATTGAATACTAGTGTTTGAAGCAGCCACTTCTTGAGTGTAGGACTCCGAGTCTGGGCCAACAGGCGAGCTTATGACCAGAACAAATATTGATAGCTGATCATCTCTTTCAGTTAAGCGCTTGGAGAGCTCAACTGTGGATATTAGGTGGCTTATGCCTGGTGATGGAACAAAAACAAGCTTTGTCTTCTTCATCTTTGTAGTGTAGGAACTGATATAAGAATTTTATTCTGCTATGGAATTTTGAGCTATGCTTGCATAGATGAATGTTTACTTTGCTATACAAGCCTCTGCTTTTTAAGTGGGAGGGTAAAGCATCAGAGACTGACAAATGTGCACATCATTCTACAGTGGAATGGCTAAAGTCAGAGATCCAGAATTTTTTTAACATACTTCTGATTTCAACGTTGACCACCCAATGGTTTTTGAACTTTCAGCTTAACATTATTCATTTGGATTAGCTGTTTTTTAGGATATTTTTAAAAAATTTTACTATAACAAAATTTTTAGAGTATATTTTGGGATATTTTTAGAACATATTTTGAAATATTTAACAGTAGTAGAGTTTTTAAAATATATTTTGAGATATTTTTTTAAATATTAAAAATTTTAAATTACTTTTTAGAGTACTTTTTAAAAATTTTTAAAGTATTTAAAAAACTAGTTTTTAAAAAACTAGTGGATCCAATTTAGATTTCTGCAAAGTGTGAAATGGTACTGCAAAGCTATCGTTTTGACTAGAGCCGGCAAAAATGCTCAAAACTCAACAACCCGCCCGTTAATTTTAAAGGATGGGTTGGGTCAATTGGGTTATGGATTTTGTTGGGTTGGGTAAGAACAACCCAACTTATTCATTTGGCGGGTTGGGTTTTTATTTGGGTACCCAATACCCAACTTGTTTAAAAGTAATTCAAAATAATAAATACAATATTCAATACACATGTGCTCAGCTACTTGTATTTGGACATGTGTTAATAATACATTGATTAATTTGTATTCAAAATTCTCATATATATATTTTCAATCAATTTTTTTAATTTTTATTTAAAAGAAAAAAGAAATTTGAAATAAAAACTCATGCTTATTTTACTTTTTTAATAGTAGTTAAACTTGCTCAATTTCTATAATAATTTATTAAACCTTTTAAAAGTATGTTGTTTTCCTCCCCTTTTTTTTCTTTTTTTTTTGTGGTTGTTCTCAAGTGGCTACTTGCTTTTGTTTGTTAACATTTCGTGTACGTAAAATAGAGTTTTAAATTTGTTCTAATTGCATTCTTTTTTAATATTTTGTGATTGCTTTTGTTTGTTAATATTTCATGTACGTATAAGGTTGTACAAATTTCTTTTTTAACCTTTTAGCATTATATAATTTCGGATTCTTCAAATTTACAAACAAAAGCTTACTTTGTATCAGCCTAATTTTTCACTAATTCAAAATAATGCGATCCCAATGTGGTAAAAATGTCAGAATAGTTTATGAATTCTCCTCTCATTTATTTCTTAATTCCTTAATAATTTTTGGGGACCAATACCTGTACTTTTTACAAGCATATAATATTTTCTGCTGTATATCAAAGCTGTGGTAATTCTAAAAGATTAATGCGATGATAGCATCAAGTATGATCCTAGATGATTCTAATTAATCAGGTGATGAATTATCTAACTCTATCAAATCAATAAAAAAAATACCTTCTAATATATATTATATGTATATAGATCACAATATTAACTTCGAATCAATATAGTTGACTTGTAGATTCTAGTCCAACGATTTCATTTCGTTTGAAGCAAACACCTCCACTCTTCAACTTCATGAGAAGCTTACAATCCGCAAGACAATTAATTTTCCCTCTTAATTAGTGAGTCCAAGAACCAAAATGCTGTAATGTCTCTAGTCACTTAATGGAAGAAAGCAATTTCCATATTATCCCTAGAATGGAGTTCCGATGCATGGACCTTTCACAACAGTTTGCAAAATTTCTAAAGTCATGAATCATAAAATTTTTGAGAATATAAGGACTAAAGTACAAACTTATTTTCTATAATTTCAATAGTATTATACAACAAATTATATATCTCTTACTTATATTTTCAAGTATAATATAATCTAGCATTCAATAATTTAAATATGTAGAATATTACAATTTACAATAAAGCAGATATAAATAGTAAAAGTGTTAATAAGTTGTGACAAAAACCAGTTTGAATCAATTAGTAGTATTAAAAAGTATAAATTAAACAATTTTTTTAACTAATCTATATAAATGTACAATTTATTATCTAATATTCACAATTCAAGCAATATAAAATATTATTCTATTTATGATGTGTTTTCAAGTAACTTAAGAAGTGAGTGTGTGTTGTGTGCATGAAAATACATTTATGCGAAATGTGAAAATGTGTTTATATGTGTGAAAAAAACTTTTTTGTGTATTAAAATGTATGTGAAAAAGTTTATGTATTAAAATGTATTAATTAATATATTGGATCATATTTGGGTCATGGGTTTGAGACAACCCAGTATGACCCAACCCAAAATCAATCTAATCTAAAGTTGGACGGGTTGGGTATAACCCATTTAAATGAAAACCCAATATTAAACCGCCCAAAACCCACCCAACCCGCCCAATTGCCCGGTATAGTTTTGACCCCAAAAAAAATTACTACAACGTCAGCAACCATTGCTAAATAAAACTAGGATTCACGTCATTATCGCAGACATTCACATATATTTTATCCCCTATGTTCAGATATTTTTGCAAATTTGACTGCACTTATTACAAAAAATAAACCCTTAACGAGTATCCATTGGCCAACCGTTAACCTAACCCATGAAACTATGTCCAAGTCATAACAAACATGAAGTATATAGCTGATGTTAGTGGTTAGTGACATTTATATTCAGCTAGGTTGTTGATTTTTTTTTTATTTAACTCAATTGGGAATAGTCCAAACCTAAAGGATGAAAGACCATGAGTGGCATGAGCAAAGATTCCAAAATCAAAGAGCATGGCCTGAACATACACTTGGGTTAATTACACTTCACCCCTAAATCTATACCACAATTGCACTTTGCCTCTCTGAATAAAAAAATTTTTTTTTGACAGTTTACCTCTTTGAAAGATTCCACCATCTAAAGGTTGGGGTAATATTTTATTTTTATGAAATAACCTTCCTCTGGAGGCAGTGGCTAAACCAAGATCGTAGGTCATAGGATACAATAATTTATATTAAATTTACCACTTTGTGGTTTGTGAACTTTTAGCTCAACTAAATGTTTCTCATAAGGCTAATAGACATGAAGTAATTTATTCAATATTGCAAAAATAAAATAAGAATTGTGTATAGGTTGTCTTTTATTATGCATTAAATAGTTATCAGGTCATCTAATGGTATAAAATTATGCAATAGTTAATATTATGCATAAATCTATGAGATGTACATTCATATATACAATAGATAACTAATGTGTATTTGACCAAACTATCCGATGAATTGTCAATTTGCTTGTAATTTATATGCTTAGACATATAAGTGGAGTTCAATGTTAAGCCAAATAAGGTTAATTAGAAAGGACATACAAATAGTATTATACTTTCTTTCAAGGTTTCATTGTAGAAATGGAGAAGGCAACTGTAAAAAAATTCAATAGTTTCAAAGGGGTAATGGTTCTGTTCCCATCAGTTCCCCATAGGCTCAGTTAGGCTTCCCCTTAGTTAAATTAGGATAGAGTTGGAGTAGGGATGACGATTGAAAAAAATAAATAAAATAAAATAAAAACTCTAAACTTTGTATAGGTTGTTCTGTAGCTTTCAAAATATTAAGGCAATGTGGGACGAAGTTAATGGCTATTATCTTATTTATTGAATATTTCTTCCTTTCATTCTACATTCAGATTAGAAAAATGTTCCGTCGATCATGATATTTTCTTAACTTACAATAATATTACTTTTCATTTTCCACACTAACTTCAACAATAGAAAAGAATCTTAAAGGCACTTTACATTTTGTTTCGAGCGTTTAGTTGCCCAAACATATGACAAGAAGTTAGGTATGTAAAACATATTCCAACATTAAATGTTCAATCAAGAGTCATAATTATTGTCATTTTAAAATAGGTTTTTCTAATGGGTGCCCAACTAACACACCTAAATTTCATCCAACTTACTATATTATATATATACTAGTCGGAGGCCCTGCGCATTCGTGACCCGTGTTAATAGTGCATTTGTGTGCTGATGTTTTTTTAATTTTTTTTGTGTAATGTGGTGTATGAATTGATGCAGAAAAATATTTTACAATATGTAAAATAATTGCGAGATAGTTAGTTTTGATTGAACGAGGGTAATTGGAAAGAATTGTTGGTAGGTTATCATATAGAATATGATTTGATGTTGAAGTAAAAAGATAGTAGTGTATATATAGTTATGAAATTGGAGAATATGGGAATAGTATTAAAGGTTGAAAGGCATAACTTTATAGTTATTTTATATTGGAGCAACTTTTACAAGTTCATTATCGAATATGTGCATTCGATATTCATTCATGCCTAAGTGGGTAATTATGAGAGTATAGCATGATCGAATAATATGGTATCATAGCATTTTTTTCTATTCATAGGTTAAAAATTTATCTTCAACTTTGATGTCCCAACATTTGCTTTGGTAATAGAAGATGATTATATTGTTTTTGTTTGGCAATATATTTGTAGTATCTTATGGCTAAAGTAAATTTATGTGCAATTTTTTTGTATGTCTTTGGGTTAATATGTGTTTAAAAAAATTTGGCTTACTAAAATTTCCATGTCCATGGGCTTGACGACTACATAGAATGCGAACTTTATAAGGAAACTTTCTCTTGCAGAAAAAATGCCTGCAATTGTTAAATAAATAAATAAATAGGAAGTTGTATTGTTGAACTCTCTGTTTTCAAACTCGGACCGGACCGGCCGGTCGAACCGGGAACCGGCCAGGTAGCCGGTCCGAGTCAACTTAGAAAACCGGAAATTTTAAAACTCGGTCAAAGCCGGTCAAAATCCGGGTTTGACCGGGTTTGACCGGGAAAAACCGGTTTTTCCGGTTCAACAGTAATTTTTTTTAAAAAAAATTCAAACTTTATAATATTATGTTTTGGCCCCCTAAATTATTAAAACTTATTCGTATACCTCAAATATTTGATACTTTATAAATATTGTCC